AAATAATTATGGTATCTCACATCCTATTGTATAACTGTTGACAAAATGATGACTTTTAAATGATGACTATTGTTTATGCAAGAGATTCCCAAACATCCCACTCTTCCCATACTGTATGTTAGCAGGTACTTCTATGCCTCAAATGTATGTACAAAGAAGAGCACATTTATTGTGAAGAAAACAATAAGAAAATTGAAACATTCAGAGAAACAACAGAGGTCCTGATCCAAGCCCACTGTAGCTAATGGAAAGATTGTCCTTGAGTCATAAGCACAGGAACTAGGGGTGCAGGAGGTGCTCCAACACCCTCAGGTTTTAGCCGGGTCCCGGCCTGCCGGTCCCCCAGTGCCCAGGTCCCAGCCCACCAGCCGCCAGGTCTCAGCTGCTGGCCCCCTGATCCCAGCTAATGGCTCCTGGGTGGGGAAGGGACCAGGGGCAAGGGGGCTGGCTTTCAGCACCCCCACTATTCAACGTGTTCCCGCGCCACTGCCTTGAGTTCAATGGGATTGGATTAGGCCCATAATGGACACATTGTTTGGCCACAAAAGAAGTTATATCTCTCAGATAAAATACAAATGATATGTCAGAGGAATGCTACTTCTCTAGCATTCTACATACACTGTAACACAGTTACACTTAAAGTGAATATGTACCATCAGTAATCAACACAGAAAACTAAATAATTACCAGCCTTCTCTTAGCTGGAACACCTTTCAAAACTCCCAAGACAAAAACCATGTATTTAATATAACCTGGACATACTACAATAACTTACAGCACTCACTAGCTTCAATCTATCAATTGTAATATTAAAGCCCATATAGGACAACCCACATTTCAAAATCAACGTGCAGACAGGTATTAACATATGGATACAATCACAAATATACAAAACAGCAGACATAATTAATACCTTTAACTTAAATTCTTTTAATCTCCTGAACAAAAAGTGCCATTTGACCTTTTAGCTGGAGCTTTCTATAGACAATTATAATCAAATACATACAATTTCATTTGGATGACTTTGCTAAAAATTCATTAATAACAGGAGATTTTTTCAGACACTACCTATAAGAATGTGACCATTACAATGGAAGTACAATGGCAGAAGCTGTCACTATACTCTGAACATTTGCAGTGAGAGTTGTGGAAGCAGAAACATCAGGCAGGCCTATGTAGAAGAGCTCTGCTGTTAGTACTTGCCTATTGCAGATTATTATCTAACTGGGATTATATTTTTATATTTATTTCATGTGTTTGTTTAACTTTGGAACTGACAGACGGTTTTGGCATGGAAGTGCCTTCATTTGTGTGGGAGCCAGGAACCAGGCTGGAGCTCACCTCTCTTATTACCAATGTGCAAGTCTTATGCTGTATATATGAGTGTAAAAAACGTTGCTGAATTATAACACAAAATATCAATATATATAGTATACATTCATCTGTCTGTATCCCTGACTCTTGAGGTTTTCAAATATCATTGGATTATTTTAAATGTCTTTCTCACTGCCTTTTTAAAATGTCTTTCTATATATTCTGTAATAATAAATACCAAGATAATTAAAACAAATTTTATACAGTATGCAATGTGTTTTATTTTAATTAACTCTTATTTAAAAAAAAGTGAGAAGCTTCAACTACCCAAGTGTGTTCATATTATATATTATGCACATCCATACACACAATAAAAATGAAGGTTACTAACTTGTAATTGGAGTTCTTTGAGATGAGCCTCTGCATATTCATACTTACGGGAATGCACCAATCGGTGTAACATAGACGGTACAGCTTTCTCCAAGCAGTGCCTATCAGAGTGCCTGCGTGCCACCTCCTACCCTTCATGAACATTCTGAGGGTGAGGCTATAAAAGAAGGCACAGAGCCCTCTACTGCCTCAGTTCCTTTCAACTGCAGCACAGTACACTACGGAAGTGAACCTCTGGATCCAATGGACATGGAGCTTCTCTCTTATTACCATAATAGTTGTTAGTTCTTCTGGGTAGTTTGTTGTTGTTCTTAGAGTTAGCCGTTTACAGGTAAAGTTAGTATAAGTTTTGTCTCCGTTCCTTTCGGAAGAGGATCTGAAGAAGTAGTAAGCAGGTTTCAAAAGATGTGCTTCCTGTCTGTCAGTTTCCCCAGCATTGGATGACTAAGTAAGGTACCTAGCATGTGTCGGCGAGGAACATTATTCATCTAGATGTACAATATATTCTACATTTATGTCTAGAGTATGCTAGGAGAAACTCAATAGACTTCAGGCACTCTTACTTCAGGAACGCCATCAGCTAAACCTTTCCAGATCTGAGAAATTGGTGCATAAAGGGAAGAGACCTATGTTGGTTCTATCTTCAGCACCTGAAAAAATTAAAGTGCCTAGGAAGAATGTTGAATTGGCACTGGATTTGCCTCCATGTATGTTCACATGCTCAGAGGCCAGAACTTCAGATCTGCTCAAGGATTCTAAACTGCTTGGAACACTTTCTTCAAAGGTGTTGAGCAAGCATAAGACTACGCCTTTGGATCAGTCAGTTGTGGTTCTGAAGAAGAAGGCTGCTGATAAAAGAGCCACTGTTAGCAGGGCCTGATCTCAGACAGATCCATCTGACTTGGATTCATCTTCCTTCTTTCCATGACAGAGATCAGGATTGGGTCCATGAAGCATCCCCATCCTTGGATCTGAACCTGCAGATACAAGAATTTCCCCAGATCTGAAAACATCTAAAGTATCAGATTGATACCAGTAGTTTTATTAGCTTTGGCACCAGTATCAGATCTGAGAAAGACTGTGAGTGGTCCATCACAGGCAGTTAAATCAGCCTCTGGATCACAGTGTCATATCTTTTGTGGAAAGAAGAGAGAGGTTCCAACAGTGGTTATTTCTCAATCTTCTACTCCTCATTAAAGGTGCAGGTTGGAGGACATTCTGAGCTTTACTCCAGAGTTGTCATGGCCTCCGCCTAAGATTCCTATGAGATCACCAGGCAAATCTTTCTGTCAATTCAGACCTATCCATCTTCTGGTTCCAATGTTATCTTCTATAAGCTCTGTTACCTATCCAAGATTGGATCTACAAACAGAAGAGGATCGGGACAGATCTGCTCAACCTAGACAGCCTAGGTTTCAACTATCTAGGTCAGGGTTTATGGATCATTTGGATCTCCTTATCCCATGGGCATGTTTCCATACGGGTGGTTTTGGCAAGAATGGCAGCCTTGAACTCCATGGCCATACTGGCCTCCAACTAGGAAATTTATGGGATCTTCCCAATATGACTGATAAAGAGAGGCTCCTGTTGCTAAGAATGAGAACATATCAGTGCCTCTGGATTCTGTAGCCCGAGATCCGTTAGTCTGCTGCTACTGTAATAGGTGATGTTTGTCAGAGGAAGATGAGGAAATAGTTGAGCATATGGAACATCAGCAGTTTAAGATTGTTCTGATTTGTTCCCAAATGAAAATGGGGGCATATCCTCTATGTTTTCTCCTTCTGAAGATGCTCTCCAATTGTGTGAGCTAGTGTGGTTTCAACAATAAAGTTACCTTTTGAGGCTGTGAAGGAAGCTTCTCATCTCGTGTTTGATATTTTGGGAACTCCCTCAAAAATAGTTTCTTTCCCTATTTTGGATTTAAAAACAAAACAACAACAACAACAGCCTGCAAAAACTAGTTGGGCCAATTCAGCTTCTTGTCCACTCATTTCTAAGAAAGCTGATAAACTGTACCAGGCTGTCATATCCCATTACCATGTCATTTACGGGATAAGACGGAGAAGGTTCTACCGTCTAGTCTGCATCAGGTGGCACATTCCCATGAGTGGGAATATGCAGAGGCCACTCAAAGAAGAACCTGGGGTACATTGTATCTATAGTTTGCAGGCAGATAAAGGTATAATACATTATTGGCCCAGTCCTGGTCTATGGACTTCAATGGAAGAGTCAGTATCTGTAATATACATGGCCCTAGTTTTCAAAGATGTGCATGTCTAAGTGCTCACATCCAATCTGGCATATGAATCCTTACTGTATGCAAACAAGCAGGGATTACACACACACACACAACAGAATGTGCAGTAACAACCCCCAGCTGTTGTGCATGCACCAGGGATGTGTACACCAAGGTCTGCACACACATAAGACAAACTCACCTTCGAGAGTTTGGATCAAAATATGTTGTTCTAAATTGTTAAGTGTCAGCTGTAAAGATTAGGGAGGACAAAAGTGACATTAAAACAGTTATAAAATAGCATTTGTTGGGGAAGCAATCACATTTGCTGACAAGTGATCTGAAATGTGTGGCTTTTAGAGCACAGTGCAAATTCTGTTTTCAGGTACACATTTGTAGCCCCAGGTTGTATGCATGAAACTGACAGCTGAGTTCAGATACGCACCTATGTATTTTAAAACTAGGTAAAACATTAAACACTGTAGGTGAAATTTTCAAATATGAAAATCCCAGCCCCTTTCTATAATTGTGATAATAGCAGCACAGTTATGGAGTGGTATGGTTACTAAGTGTGCAGTTTTGGTTTAAGATATATAGCTCTTGCGCACTGGAAGCATTTGGCCTTCAAATGTCGGCCTTAGTATTTGTAGGCCTAATCCTGCAAAAATTATGCACAGAAGAAACTTTACTCAAGTGAGAAGGTTCATGAACTTAATGAGATCACCTCAGCGGAGCAGAGTTACTAACATGCATATTTACAGGATCAGGCCCTGTGGCATTGCAAAGACCATTTCACATGTATTGTTTCAATCACCACATATAGAATAAACCGAAGAATTAGGCATACATTATAACACTATAGGCAAAGGCATGAAGTCACATAAATCAGTTGCAAAGTAAGGAGCATATATTGAAAGCACTGTGAATCTGCATATTATGATGTTCCCTCAGTGACATGTGTGTTCCTAGAAGAGCTGATATATTATATTTTCCTTATATTGTGCTATTCCACAATAGTAAAATTATTAGGGTAGTCCTATGAAGAATAGAAGTAACTTACCTATTCATTTCTTCAAGACAGTCAGTTGCAAAGTAAAAGCTCTTAATTTTTGGGTGGCATGCTTTGAAGGCACTGTAAAACAAACAAAGGAGAAAAATGTAGTTTTCTTTTCAAATAGTTTGTCTGTAATGACTTTATTGCCCTTTGTTGATAAATTTACATGATGAGGTTGAAAAGTCCTCCTCAGACTTACTTGCTCTTGGGTTCTTCAGAATGTTATAGAGTTACACATACATTTTTCTATGTGAGTTCAATGAAAAATGATAAAAGACAAAAAAACCTTATCATCTATAGATGAAAACTTTTCAAAGTGATCATTCTTTAATTGACCTCTCAAGTCCTCATCCTCAAAGGAAACCTGAATGACACCTTCAAAAGATGAGCCTGGGAGCTTAAATTCATAAGTTTGATAGACACTAAAAACCATGGACTTGATAAAGACACTGGATTTATGGCTCATTACAACAATCTGTAACTCACTAATCACCCTTCCCCTCCTATGACTGCAGAAGTATTAACTGGCCATTTCACCTTGAATGGTCTCCTACAATATGTATTACTACTACTGATGGTTCCAATGTGTGGAACTAAACAATCAGTTCCACCTTATATTTAGCTGTGACACTGAGTACATTTCCCAGGCCTGACGAAAAGCTGTGTAAACTTAGAAGCTTGTCTCTTTCACCAAGATAAGTTGGTCCAATAAAATACATTACCTCACTCATCTTGTCTCTCTAATATCCTGGGACCAACACGGTTACAAGAACACTGCAAAAAAGATCCGGTAGCACCCAGGATAAATTTACCAATTCACTTCTGCATTTGTTTTGTCTCTCTAATCAGGGGCTTTTCATTCAAATTGAACTTGATGGCAGCAATCTTGTTACTCTGGGGGGATATAAGAAATATATGCTTTGCTGACAAGTGAACAAAAATGTGGAAGCTCTCATTAGTGGGGGCCACTCACCCCTGAGTTCAGAAACAGCTTCTCAGAGTGAAACTTAAACCATCCAAACCTCAAGTGGTCTTGGGGTTTGTAATTTTCTAGCTTTGATATTTTTTGTTTGTTTCTTGTAGTCACAATGGGCCCAATTAACCCCTGATGTAACTTCATGGAAGTCAATGAAGTTACATCAATGGTGAATCTGACTTGATTTCTGAAGCTGTCATCAGCTGTGTGGTCAATGTGTTATCTTTCACATACAACTTTTTCACAGCTGAATTTTCTTGCTGTGCTTTATTGTCTAGATTATTTACCATTTTTTCTGTTTTGGGACCAGCCTCTGGCTAGTGGTTCAAGATGTGTATATCTCTTTGCATCTATTGTAGCATCATTCTCTTATAAAACTCCTGGGAAGGCATTCAGCCAACAGTTTTCTGTTCTTTCACTAAAGAACTCATCCCAGGTCACTGCAGAGCTACAGCTAATATCCCACAATGTGTAATCTTTCATTTCCTGAAAGGCTGTCATTTCAGAGTAAATATCCACTGTTCATGTAAAAAAGTCACTTCCTCTGTTACAATTGCTCTGGCATTAGTTAGCAGAAAAATGAAAGAAATTTCTTAGTCTGTAGTTTTGACTGGTAAAATGGATAAGATGAAGAGTTGTCCAAAATAACTTTGGAGGGTAGAATAGGTGATGATTCTGCAGGTGAGTATGTGACTACAGAGACAAAACTCTGTACTTTACATAATTTATTTACCCTATCTTCAGTTATCTATATGTTTGTTGAGTTTACATACTTTGCTGACAGTATTATGTACTTAAAGCACGTGGGATATGCATACAGAAAAAATAATCTCATTTTATTATTATCAATACAATGTGCACAAGTCTCAGGCATCATTATGAACGTCCATGCAAGCACTGATCTTGGATTCAGTTGATGAGGACTTCTGTGAATCCTGTTTTGGACTTCATATGCAATAAACTGTGGAAGTAACATTTTGTTCATGATAGTTAATAAATGTCAGAAGTGTGTTTGTCTTAACAATACTATATACTGTATGATACGCCATAAAATTCCCCTTAAAATATGTGCCTCCCCCTATAAAAAAAAGTGTGTGTAGAGGCAAAGAATCATGCTGATATATTCATTTTTAAAACATTATCTTAGCTCTATTTTAATAGAAACTCAAGTTAATGTGGTGCTGTGAAAGAAACAAGACTGACAATGTTACAGACTGACACCCTCTAATTATCTACAGAACAGGCAAGCTTCTTGCACCCAGAACTGCAAATATGTCTCAGATCTGGTCTATGGGATCATCTCTTGAAGTAGGCCTGTAGTTCATTATTCTTGCGTATTCAGTCCTTGGCTTATCTTTTGACACTGCCCGCATGGGTTCCAATGATATGGACAGCTGTCCACCAAGAATTGGATTGAGAACCCCAAATTATTTTCCATGCAGGTCCTTAAAACAGGTATCTGATGAAAATACGTAGACTGTGAACCTAGAGATGAATGGCTTTGTATTCTATTATTAATTTCAAAATCAATTATGTGGAAAACCATGGGGAGGCTTAGTCCTTCAAAGTTAATGGATTCTTATCTAAAAGCACCCATTAAAATGATGTATTTTGGATATGCTCCCTAACTTGAAAAATGTTCTTCTGCCAATGTCCTGATCCATCCAGCATAGTCAAAGGCAAGCATCATGCTCCACAACAGCATTTATCAAACTGTTGTCTGCGGAGCACTGGTGTTCTGCAGAGAGCTGGTTGGTTACATGGCGCTCCTTTTTTCTAGCTGCTTTTACAGGCTAGAAGTGGCCCACTTCACTTGTCCATATACTTCACTGAAAGAACAGCTTAGATGCCTATAAAAGGAGCTGGAAAGAAGAAGGAGTCCTAGTATTTGTTGCTGTGTAAGAGGATGCAAAGAAAGAGGAACTGCTGTCAGGAAGCAAAGCCACCCGTGGGACTATAACAATTAGCTAAATACTCTATTATTTGTTACCACAGGGATGTTGCACAGTAAAAATTGGAAGGTAAGTGGTCTTCCCAAGTTAAGGGGCAGGTGGCTTGCACAAAATTGAGGCGAGGTGCCCGTCTGAATGGGAGCAGTGGTGGTTCACAAGACACTGTCATTCACACTACGAAAAAATGTGACAAACTCTGGTGGTAACATGGTGTTCAAGGCTAGGAGCTAAGACTGCTTAGTTCTAATTAATTCTCTGCCATTTATTATGCAGCCTTCGGCAAATCACAAATCTCTCTGCCTCAGTTTCTCTGTCTACAAAAAAGGTATACTTACCTCACTTGGTTGTTGCAATTAGATAACATTTGTAAAGTGCTATATAAGTCCTAAGTGCTCTTATCATAGTCATACCCACATATCGTTCCACTTCCTTCATATTAATTCTTTCATTACTGATTATCTTTAATAGCTGGATTCTGTGTTAATGGCTTTAAAATTGTTTCTACATCTGGACCAGAATTAATTTTATATTTAAAAAGTATAAATATTAGGCTCCCCATTTTTATTTTTAGTAAGATGTCCAAGGACATGATTTTGATTTTACGTCTGCAGGTATGTTTTCACAAACACCAGAAGTTTTTGTATGTATACAAACTTAATGTTATAAGATATGCAGGAAAATGCATGTGAAATTAATCAGGCCTAGTCTGATTAGAAGATCCAGTAATATTGCACATGTGGAAAGATGGCTAAAACCAAAAAACACACAAGGGGACTAATTCATGTTACCACTGAAATAAATGGAGTTACACCAAGGAATAATTTGACCCATCACATATGTATTTTGTACAATTAACTGAATAATTTTTTTTATAAAAGCAAAGCAGTCTATTTATACTTTAACAAGAGGAAATCTCCTTTCCTTCTGTCCTCTTTAGAAACTGATCTTATATCAGATATCATATTTGTTACCTCCAATGTTATTTCATTTACACCAAGGGGAGTTGGATTAGGCCTTGCAATAATGCCATTTATGATGCATTTTGATGGTTCCAGATATATTTAGCCTCTTTTATTAACAGTTTTCCAGTATCAGTGTGGGGGTTATGTGCATGCACACGTGTACATTTTGCTGCAGCTATATTTATGTGGTGTTATTTCTTTAGCAAATATATATGCTCATTGTTGAACTCCTATAATGGTTCATCATAATCTGTACTGTAGTGTATCTAGAAAAAGGTCCTTTAATAAATATGGTAAAAAGCCAAGCAAACAAAATGAAATTACTATTACTTTATAGTGACATTATAATTTATTACAGGTTTTATCACAGAATTTACTACCATAATAGTGAGTTTCATGTCTTTTTACTGAATTTCTGGTATCATAGACATCCTCTTGCCCTCTGAGGGAGGTTGAATTCTGGCCTCAGGATTTCCTCAGGCAGAAGGGTGATGGCTATGTATTTTTTCTGAGTCCAGGTTTGTGCAGTGTGCAATTTCCAGGTCTTTGCAGAGCTACAGAACAAGTTTCTTAAAAGTGTGTGCCAAACTCTTTTGTTTGGGAAAGCCATTGGTGCGGCATCAAAGGAGTGTCTTAATATTTGTACTTGTTTTATATAAGTGCAATTTTAAATAGAATCTTGGCTGCACTGTTTTACCGTGAGATGCCTAGAATGGCATGAGGGAAAGCAGCTGTAAGATTACAGGCTCTGTCCTATATTCCTAGTGCTCTCTCAACTCCCATTAAAGAAAATGGCCCCAGCTCCTTGGCTAGTGTACTTCAGCCATGCTTCATTGACTTCAGTGGATTGACAGATTTATATTAGGCAAGGATTGTAGTCAGTAGGCCTGATTCTCATATCATGCTGGCATCAGGCGGATTTAACTCCATTGATTTAAATGGAATAACTTTAATGAGGTCACAATCAGGCCCAATGGGAATTGTGAACATTCATCACCTTGCAAGACTGGCCCAATACAGTACATATAGGTATGCATCTTTTTTTTAAAAATCCTCTGCTTTTCCTGAGTCATCCTCTTTTGCAATAAAATAGCTGTTGAGAGCGATACTAGCTTTGTGTAGCTCACATGTCCATAGTTGTATGATAGGGGATATTCTTAACAAAGAAACAAAGTCCTCAGGAAATGA